TTCTAAATACTATAATTTGTTCAGATTTATTATTAACTCATTTTTTATTTTTTTTTGGGTTTCCTCCCTTTCTATTGCAAAGGTCTCATATGAGCATTTTATAATTATAATACAAATAGTGATTATATATGAGAAATTTACTGTAACTAAGGTTATTAGATAAAATCTAGAGGTTTTGTAAAATTATATTAAAACTTACATCTGTAAAATTCAGAAAAGGTAAAACTATATTAAAGTTTATAAAAATGTGAAACTATATTAAAAGCTTAGTAAAAAATTAGCAAAACTAAAATTTAAACATTTTGTCAAATTCAAAATAAGTTTAGAGATAAGCAACCTTAATCGCGATACAATAATAAATTATTTTTATTTTTTATTGCTAATATAATAAATGTAAAAATTTAATAATATATTTTAAAGAAATCACTGATCCTTTTATTTAACTGATTTTAGAATAATTGTAACATATTTTTTAGTATATTTAGAATATATACATCTATGCGAATATACAATTATTAAGTTATACTAAGATTTAAAGTTTTTTTTATATAATGAAATTTAAAAAGAAATTTTGAAGTAAAGTTTATATTAAACGGTTATTTTACGGTAAATAAAATATTAAAGTATATTCATTTTTTTATATTTTTATTATATATTTATTAAAAGAGAAAATTATTACGTGTTATTATATAATTATATTTTACAATTAAATGCATAGATTATTGCTTAATATTTGGTTATTTTTTTTAAATTTTGATCAAGTGTAATAAGTGGTTGAGTAAAGTCACAAAGTCACGTAAGGTGAAAATTTTTTTGAATAGCTTTACAAATTGGGCATTCTTAACCTGTACTCTAAGTATAAATTATTATCCTATACCAAGGGGATATAGATTCTTATTCTGTATCTCCTCTAAATTTGATTAGTTTATACTCTAGTTTTTAGTATCACAAAAAACTTTTAAATATTAAAAGAAAAAAAAAGAAAAAAAAATATTTTATATTTTATGCATTTGATTTCTTGCTTTAGCATCTTAAATAAATTTATCTATTGTTAACGTGTAATTCTCGAGAACTACGACTGTTAGACGGAGTGTTCGAGCGGTTTATTCTTTTTAATTAAGCAGTAATCTTTCAACAGTTTACAAGTTTTAACTCAGACGATTTATCAAAGTATTATATTATCAAAACGAGTTATAATTCAACAGATTTCCAATAAGTTATATTTATAAATAATATGTTTATTTTTAAATAAAAATAATAATAAAGATAACGAAAAGAAAAGTAAAAGAAATAAAGAATAAAAATAAGAAAGAAAAGAAATGAAATACTAAAGCTAAAAGGTGACGCGGTAGGCCAGTTGCCTCTAAAACTACTAAAACTATCTTGTCGAATTCCTCCCTGTCTCATGAACTAAAAAGCTACTTATTTATATAAAACAAAATACATAAAAAAATATAACTAATATGTTTAATATATCAACTATATCTAATATATCAACTATGTCAACTATGTTAAATATGTCAAATATGTCAAATATGTCTGACATATCATATATATCAGTTATGTTCAATCAGTTTATCTTCTGCGTCACATAAGCTGCATCACATTTACCCGTTCACATTATAAACTTAATATTATATATTTTTGTATACTTGAAAATAAAATATTTTTTTAGATAATGAAATTATTTTATTTCAATTTTAATATAATAATTGTAAAAGTACAGTTTATTATTGAAATACAAAGCTTTATTAAGTGAAAATTTACCAAAACCAATGTTAAGAAATAATAATTATAAATGTTATATTAAGATTTATAAAAATTTTTATCAAAAGAAAATGCTTTCTAGTATTATTACAAGAAAAATCTATAACTCTATAACTATTCAAGCTAACCTCATTAAAATTAATGTATAAGTATTTTCAAACTTGCTAAACAACTTATTTAAGCTTTTTTTATCTATTTAGTTTGACTAAAATGTTCAAATTACACCTAGAAAGTAAAAAACAAAATGCATTTAGTATTATTACAAGAAAAATTTATAACTCAATAACTATTTAAGCTGATCTCATAAAAATAGCATGACTGAAATTCTATTTATGCATAAATATTACACAAGATTTTTATATAAGAATACATATACCAAAAAGAAGTATCATATGATGACACCTTAAGAACAATTATAAATGTTATAAAAAAAATTTTACCATATTATTTTTCATTTGCTTTACAATTAAAATGTGGTGACCTATCTCTGAGATCTCTTGTTCCACTAAGTTTTATTAAGAAGAACTTGAAAATTACCTATTTGTTACATGAAGTAAGTATATTGATTTTATAACTATTAAAGACTAAAGTATATATAAAACTTAGGTTTTTTTTTTATCAAAAGCTTTTGAGATTCATATGAGCAAGTTTAAAATCTGAAAAGTTGATCATTTTCTTTTGAAGCCTTCATAAAACTTCAATATTTGTTTTACAAAATGATTTCTTATGCAAATTGATTCAGCCAATCAGAATCCTTGTTGATTGACCAGTAAAATCAAACTTCAGTCATGCTTATTAGACATTTTTCGCCTGTTTAGGTTGACCTAGATTGTTGAAATTATGCTACAAAAATCTCTATAAAGTACAAAAAAACGCATTTGTTGTAAAATTACTTATTAATCTCAACAGTTATGAAAATGTCCACAACTTTATGATAATATTTTATACTAAAAGTTCTAAACTCTGTTGAAAAATATTTAACTTTATTATTATTATTGTAATTAAAAAAAACGTTTTTATGTAAAAATTAAAAAAGAGAGAGTTGGGAATTTTATTATTATAAAATGACATAAACAAATAAATCAAATTTGGATCAGTATATGTCACGTGAAAATTAGAGGGGAACAGGTTAATATCGTAAACCCCTGGAATATTAGCCGGGTACTTTATTTGGCCTAAAAATCATATTTGGCATTTGGCATATTAAAGTAAAATTGATTTTTCCGGCAGTTTTCCCTCCTTTTCTATTGCAAAGGTTATGATATTTAGATTTTTTAATGTACATGACATTATTATTTCGCGCAATAATCGTGTCATTGAAAATTGAAAGTAATCGTAAGGGTTGTCGATCATCAAACAAATCATCGGTTATTAAAAAATTTAATAGATGATCATACATATAGATTAGGGTCTCTCTCTCTATCTCTATATTACGATAATAAAAAGTATCATTCAATCATGAATTTAAGCATAGTACACGGATTAATACCGAATATTCAAAAGAAATCTAGTGTTAAATTCAAAAATGATCCATACATTTTTGATATAGTATCTACCGATTCATTTTGTGTGGTATCGGACTCAAGTCATGAGTTAAAATCATATAATTATAAGAATCAAGAACTTGAATTTAATGGAAAGTTATCATTTCACAATGATTCCATCACAAATTTACAAATACACAAAAATCATTTGTTGATATCGAGCTCCAAAGATGGTCGTATCGCGATTTGGGATTTGAGAGCATCAAATCAAGATCCATCACAAATTATTTTAGGTACATGTAAATTTATTTATTCAAATTTCCACTAATCTTTATTAAAAAGGAATTTGTTTTAACATTTAGCATTTATCAGCAAAGAATCGGGAACCTTTGCTTTCATTTGATATCAACATATCTGATACGCTTTTAGCAGCAGGTACCGAACTTGTCGATAATGATGCCAAGGTTTTATTTTGGTACATACCTATCATATCTTACACTTGTTTGTAATAAAAAAAAAAAAAATTTAAATTAATCACTTTTTTTTTTAGGGACTTGAGAAATTCCTCATCGTTGCACGCCGAATTTGTTAAATCACATAATGATGATATAACGCAAGTCAAATTTCATCTAACAAGTCCATCTCAGCTAATTACAGGATCCCTTGACGGATTAATATGTAATTTTGATTTAAAGAATTTTAATGAGGATGAAGGATTGGTTGGTGTAATAAATTCTAGATCATCAATCAATCGAACTGGATATTTTGGGCCCAATGCTGAATATATTTATTGTCTGACACATAATGAAACATTTAGTTTGTGGGATGCATCGGAAGTATGCCTTTACTATTCTTAATATCAAAACGTTCTTTATTAGTCAGTCTCGATTTGTTAAATTTAAGACTAATCTTCCAGGCAGATTCATTATGTGATTTCGGTGATATTCGACAATTTTCGATCCCCAATTTGGCTCAAATTGACTATGCCATCGATTGTCGATTCGAGTTTTCCACTAATAGATTATACCTCTTTACCGGATCTAACACGTAAGTTCGCGTTTTTTCCTTTAAATTTATTTTTTATTGACCTTTTTTTTTTTCTGTTTGATATATAGTGGAAACATCAGTATGATCCATGTAAGTGCTAATGAACTACAATTATGTCACTCTTTTAATGACGCTCACTCTGAAATAGTTCGAAGCGTCCGTTGGAATCCGCAGGTTAGTTCAAAGCCTCTCGGCTGACTTTTCTTTCCGGATTTGAAATAATCCACTTTGGTTTATTATTATTATTGCTATTATGATTATACTTATTATTATTATTATTAATTGTATAACTAATTATTAATTATTATTATTATAATTATAATTATTTTTTAGACAAATATTTTTCTCTCCGGCGGCGAAGATTCAAAACTATGCTTATGGGGACCATAAGCAATATTAATATAATTATGTTAATAACTGAATATATAAATATAGCATTTATGAAGTTCTCAACGCATTTGAGTTTTCAATAAAGTATTGATCTCATGATTTGCGTAAAATAGTGCGAATGGAAATAATGGTGCAAAAAATTTATGACACAAAGCTTCTGTTGGAGTAAGCCTTTTGGAAGAGTCATAGTTGAAAATTTCATCAATAAATTTAATAAAATCCATATTATTAGTATTTAAAGCTTTTGATAACTTTCTTATTCGCATCGATTGTAACCTATACACATAAGAAAAATTATATTAAAACAAAATTTATTACACACATTATTCACACACCTTTTGAACTTACGTATCTTCATTCGACCCTGTTGGCCAATCTTTTAATCCATTATCAATTCGGGTCGAATACCAAGCAAAATTTTTTGCAGGTTTATATATTGAGGTTGGGAGAGGGCCTAACAATTGTTCCATTTCTTTGATAATACTACTTTTTGTATCACTTTGAAAAATAGGATGACCAATCCAAATTTCACATATGATACATCCTAAAAATCATTCATCCGAAAAAATTATAATAGAAATTTTCTTAAACAAGTTATTATGAATTATTCATACATACCAAACGACCACATATCGATTTCATAACCAAAAGGAAGACCTAGTAAAACCTTAGAAAAAGGAAAATATTTCAGCAAGTAGATAAGTGTGATGAATATTTTTAAAAAAAATTTATTTACCTCCGGAGCTCTGTATATAAGACTTTGAATTTCAAAACTTTCCATATAAAATTTTACATCATCCAAACCAATTGCGTTACCAAAGTCAATTACCTTTAAATCATAAGAATTCTCTGTGACGATTTCCATACACATCATAAATAAATATTAGAAAATATGTACATATAAAAAATATCTATTTTTTTAAAAGATAAAAAGATATAATTACCCGAGACAAAAAGAATGTTTTCCAACTTCAAATCACCGTGTATTACAGCCATATGTTTAATGTAAATTAAAGCGGTTAAAAGCTGACAAGCTATCTTTCTAATAATTTGTAATCGGAGTTGTTCATTAACCGTAAATGAAATTTTTGGCACACCACCTCGATAATATTCAAATACCAAACAAAAATGTTTGTCAAAGAAGAACGTATTCAGGAGTTTGCTAGTGTGAGAGTTTCCATGAACATCATGCAAATTTAAATAGCGTAGTTTTTTACATTCCTAATAACAATAAATATATTAATGATAAATCATAATATTGTAATTAATCACATACAAATAAAAATCAAACCTCAAATCCAACGCGGTTATGTTTGGAAATCATGATCTTAATGGCTACTAAACTCCTATTGCGATATAGGTCCTCGGCGCATACTGTCTTTGAAAAAGCGCCCTCACCAACTATATTGATAACCCGATATCGACGCGCTAATGTTAATTGATTAGCGATTTCTGTTGGACAAAGGCATATTTATTTAATAACTTAAAAAAAAATTTAAAGCATAAAAACTTGTAATTAAAAAATCATGATCACCTGGAATATCATTATCTTCTGGATGATGACGCGACGTATCAGCTTGACCATTGTCTTCAATGTTCCATGTCGCAGAATCTGAAATTTTGAATAAATTACAACTTGATTGCCCAACAGCTTCTTTCTTCATTTCCATTAACTTTTGTTTTAAAAGTAGTTCTTTATTCAAAATGGAGAGACCTACAGTGACTCTTTGTACAATATTAAAATGAGCTGTCGTTGGCTTGCAGTTGCTTGTAAAAAGACTTTGAATTTCTTCTTGCTTCTTTATAATGTCTCGAACATTAATTACTGCTGAAGCATTAGAAAACATTTTTATTTAAGTAAGTTATTATGAGTATTTTGTTTTTTTTTTTTTATACCCAATACCAATTCTGATTGATCTACCTTACATTTGCTGATATGATTAAAGTAGCACGAATTAAAAAACAAAAAATTTTAGGGTTTTAAGTGTACCCTAGAAGTTATAATGTATTACCAAATCTTCTCACATACTTTCCTATCTAACTTATATGATGGAATTTATGAGTGATATTGGCTCAGGCGCCGACATTTATCGTCCCTCTTTGTTCGAGTTAGTCGCACAGGAAAAATTGCGCGATCTCATTCAACCAGCTGTCAAATATATTTTATCGGTTAATATCACTTTCAAAAGGCTTGGATACGTTACTTGATTATAACATAATAATTTTTTTTATATAGGTATATGCTCAACGATATCCTCGATACTTGCTTCGCTTATTTAATCAATTTGATGAGTTTTATGCTCTCGTAACGTTATTGGTTGAGAAACACTACTTGAAAAATTATTGTGAAGTATTCTTATACGTTAATACGTTTTTTTTCCTTCAACATGTATTAATTTTTAAACCAAATTTGTAGACGCGTCTTTTGCTGAAAGTTTTTATGGATTGAAAAGAATTCGGTCGATACGAACAAAAATCAACTTACCTGAGGCAGCACCGGATGCCGATTTACAAAAACTAAAGAATTCTGATATATGGCTATCCTTATGTTTTTTGGTAAAATTAATCGATTCACACGGCTTCTTTTTGCTTTTACCTTAATTATTAACATTGCTAATTTTAAATTAAAGGTTGGAATTCCTTACATAAAAACAAAGCTCGATAATAAATATGAAGAAATTAGTGGAGGTGTTGGTGCAAGATTATTAGGTGTCACATTTTCTCGAGAAAATAATGAGGGAAATATCCAAGTTTGTATTCTTTAATTAGTTCAGTAATTCAATTTAAACTGAGGAAACTTTTTAATTTTTATTGATAAAAATCGTAAGCAGCTTAATCGTAGAGAACGTATACGTCGTTTCATCCGGCGATTTTTTAAGATATTTTATCCATGGCTGAATGCTTTTTATCATGGTTCAAACCTATTATATAACATTTTATATTTATATGATAAAACGTGTTATTACACACCATGGCTAAGGTTAATGGGTATAGAAATTCGTAGAATGACCGCACAAGATTACGTAAGTAAATTTTTTAAAAAAATGCGATTCATGGATTACATGTTTTTGTAACTTCTAATATTTCTATTATTTGAATGTGATATCTATTTAATAGCGTGAGCAGTCTGAAAGAAGAAAGAATTTACCAAGAAATAAATTGCAATCGACAACGCTGCTTCAAATCAGTCGTTATTTTTCAAGCCTGATTTTATCGGACTTGCTAGACTTTCTCAAAATTCTATTGCCAATGTCTATATTCTTTTATAGATTCTTGGAGTGGTGGTATTCGAGCGAATATGCAAGACAACCAGGTCGTGTCAATGGAATAGATGTGCCACCTCCTGAAATTATAGCGGTATGGTTTTACGCAAGAATGTCACATTTTTTTTTTTTTTTTTGCATTAAAGATCTAATTTATTTCATTAGCCTGATCCGCGAGGAATTCCGCTTCCAGACACACCTAACGTATGTCCAATTTGTTCGAATCTTTTGACTAATCCAACAGCACTTTCATCCGGGTATGTTTTTTGTTATCTTTGCATTTCTCGTCATATCGAGGATTATGGGAGATGTCCAATAACTTTGATCAAAGTTGAGATCGATGAACTAAGGAAGGTATATAATTCCTCTACATAACTGATATTATGTAAATTACAATTAATATATAAATTTTTAAAAAAAAAGAAAAAAGAATAGAATTCTACAATAAATATATTTATGATCGAATCGGCTTATCAATTTTTAATATATGCTGCGCCCTTCACGTTACTGGCCCTTTTCGGAAAAACGAAATAGCATTTGAAATTATAATCAACTATGATTGGTTGATCATAATGATAACTCCGGGCCAATTTTTTCCAACTACGTTTCGAAACTACGTCTCTGTGATTATAATATAAAGCAAACCCAACGCGTACAAAAAAAAATATCATTATTCTTAGTGGTGTTCGACGGGTTGCATTTTTTCTCTACGCGTTTTAAACTCACTTTTTTTTTTCTTTCTTAAATTGCAAACAGTTTGCTAAAATATAACTAGCAAAGTAAACCAAGAAAAATAACTAAATCTATAACAAAATTTAAAAGTTTGGTTTTATCATCAGGTACCTGAAATTTCTATTTCGATTATTGAATGATTAATGGATTTATCAACAACTTTTCGCGAGCAAGTTAGTTTTTTTTTTTTTTTTTATGGTTCACAAGTATACCTCTTTGTTATTTTACAGATCGAAAATAGCAAAATGAACACTATTTCAGAAAAAGAAAAGGAGGTAAGCTAGAAATTAAATAAACTAGTAATTTTATATTTTATATAAAGTTAATTAATAATTTAATAATTAAATATGTAAAAATAGATTGATATCGTATCACAACCTTTTGACAATGAACAAGTAAGAATATCATCTCCTAACAATTTATCGGAGGAAATTTTGTCAGAAAAAACTCAAGATAAAGTTTCAGAAGCAGAGACTGAATCTTCAACAAGTAATATATATTTATTATTTTTTACATCACTTATTATTTTTCTTATATAGACAAATGGCTTATTAATATTATAAATACTTATAGAAACTAATACATCATCAAACTTGCGGAGATCAACGAGAGCAAGGAAACCACCAAGTTGGTTGTTGCAAGATGATAGTATGTTCCTGTGTTTCCTTTCTTTTCATGAATATTTATATATTATTATGAAGTAGGTTAATTAAGCAATAATTTCAAATATAGCATTAATCACTCGGCGGAAATCACGCCGTATAGATAATAAAGGCGAGGGAGATGATGATAAAAAACATGTTTCAGACGTTGATACGATCAATGACACCAATAAATCAACACAAAATGTTAAGAGAAAACGTGGGAGACCTAAAAAATCTTCAATTACAAATTCTAGTGAAGATAATACCCCAGATGAAATAATCAATGAGTCACCAGCTTCCGAAGTTATTATAGTTAGAGGAGAACCAGTTGTAACAGCGAAGAATTCATCCGAGCAATTAAACAGTGAAGATTTTGATAAAAATGTTTCCGATGGACTGGTTAATGATTCAAATGTATCAGTACCGAATATTCAAAAAAAGCGGGGAAGACAAATGAAGAATTCATCCATTCAATATAGTGAAAAAAATAGTTCTGAGAATGGAACAGATGAATCAAATACAACAGAACCCAAAATTCGACGGAAGAGGGGAAGATCAAAGAAAGGATCTTCGTCCCAATCAAGCGATGGTCATGAGAAGAATAGACCTGAGGAAATGGCCAATGAATCAAATGGCTCAGTACCTGAAGTTCGGAAAAAACGAGGAAGGCCAAGGAAAAATTCATCCGAAGAGTCAAGCAACGATCAAGATAAAAATGTAGTTGAGGAAGAAATCCCTCGAAGAAGGCGAGGAAGGCCGAAAAAGGATTCATCCACAAAATCTAGTGAAATTCTTGATAGAAATAGTTCTGATGATAGTATTAATAATACCGAATCCAATAATTCAGAACCTGAAGTACGAAAAAAGAGAGGAAGACCTAAAAAGTCTTCAACTGCGCAATTAGACACTGTGAAGTCGACTACAGAAACTCGTAGAGCAAAGAAGACAAAAACGCGCCAAACTACGCAACAAAGTACACCTGGGAGTACATCAGAGAATTCACCTGAAAATATAAATAAGATTGCTTCAGGAGATGATCTTGCTCCACAACCTTTAGTTTCGATTGAACAAAGTTCTTCGAGAAATTCTCGTAATCTTTTAGAAGATAGTGGAATGTCACTTTATCGTATGTTATTGAACTTTTTTGAATCAATTATGAAAAACTCTTTTTTTATTTACTGATTTGTTTTATTTCTTACATTCAGAGGCGGTTCTTATGCTAGATAGTGATTTAGAGAATACTGTATCGGATTGGGTAGAGACTTATGAAGTTGATAATCAAAAAGCTTTACTTATATTGATAAATTTCATAATTCGGGTATGTAAGCCCATAGAACATGATAGGAACAAGGCTTCATCCGAATTTAAATTTTAACGTACTATCTATATTTATTTAGTCGTGCGGATGTCCCAAGACCATCGAACAGGAGGCTATTGAAGACGAAGATGCAATTGTTGAAGTTCTAAGCGAACTGCAAAATGCATTTAAAAAAGTAAATATTCATTTTTACAAGCGATTATTTTGTTAAATTTTCCTTTTATTCATATTAAACTGTAATCCCAATAGGAACTTGTTACAGACTACCCTCTTGTTTCAAAGGCCAGGGATTTTAAAAAATTCCGCAGGAGTTTTTTGGAATTTTTTCATAGGCTGATAAAACAGGTTAAACATTCTATATTGTATGACGGCCTATTCTGTGAAACTATATACGCTTGGGTGTGTTCAATGTCAAGGTGCGACGCTTTATATTTGTTTCACAAACTCATGATCTTATTATCACTATTAACACTCACATTAAACGTTTTCGTGATTTTGAAATTGTTCAGCTCCGCCTTCCGTCCATTTCGACATACTGCAGCCGCAATTGCTCTATACTTGTTAAGCTGTCTTTGCGAGGTCGCTCAAGAGGTTCGAAATGAATTAAACATTGCTACTCGTCAGCTAACTTCGGAACAAATTAAGAACAAGAATTCAAGGAATCTAAGGAACCAAGATAGGATGAGTAGCTTACGTTCAAAAACTGCAGAATTGACGGAGAAAAAGCAACAATTAGAGTCATATTTTAATGATTTTTTTAATGGGTTAGTAATAACAATATATATATTCGGTAATTACACTTATATTAATGAATTTAGATTATTTTTTCTTGAATTTGCGTATAGTGTATTTATTCATCGTTATCGAGATGTAGAAGCAATAATACGAGCAGAATGCGTTAAAGAATTGGGAGTTTGGATCGTAAAATATCCTGATCGATTTTTAGAAGATAAAGTTACGAGATATCTTGGTTGGCAATTGTCGGATAAAGTAATAGCAAATGTTTTACCATGACTATCGTTAAATCTGAAATCAATTTTAAACTAATCATTTTATTCCTTTATTGTATATATTATGTACAAATAATTTAGTCTCCGATTGCTAGAGTAGAGGCAATTAGATCTTTATCGCGTCTCTATATTAATGAGACGTTCATAAGTGGATTGCGCAATTTCACCGAGCGATTTAAACCACGCTTAATTGAAATGGCTTTGCGAGAGGCCGAGCTTAGTGTTCGCATTACTACCATTAGTTTGTTAACCCAAATATATAAAGCAGGATTATTAGAAGATGAGGATCGTGATGAATTATCACATCTTATATATAGTGATCTACCAAAAGTGAGAAAATCAATCGCTCCCTTCGTTAAAGATTTACTAGACGAGGATTTTATTAGCTCGAAACTTACAAAGGTTCAAACTTTTTTGTCCAGTAACGACACTAAACGAAAAAACAGAAATTCTAGTAATGAAATTGTAAATTCTGTAAAACGTGATTGGGTGTCTTTTAAATGTTTGGCGGAATTCTTGGTCAAATACAGAAAGCCGAAAGAAGGTTCTCAAAAAGGCGATGAGATGATTGATGAAAACGTAGATGATGATGAATATGAAGATGGTTCTTCAATTTTAGTTATTGGAGATGTAAAAAATAATAGAATAGCATTAGCTATTGAAGCTCTCTGGGGTGAAATGGAAATATTACATGACTGGCATAGTTTAGCCGAATATCTTTCCAAAGATCATTCCTTAACAGATAACTCCAGTACTGCAAAAGAATCTCAGGGTGAGAACGATCCTATTGATGCTATCGAGGATTGTTATAGACTAAGCGAGCGTGAAGAATCTGTGTTAGTCCAGGTTTTTGTTGCTTGTCTTAAATTGATGCTTGTTGATCCATTAAGCAGAGATAAGAAAAAGGTTGGTTGGTTTAATTTCAATTTCATTATTATGAATTTGGTTAATTCTACAATACCTAAATTTGAAACTTATCTAGACTGAAGCACAAATTGAAGAAATACGCGAAGAAGTTTCGAGAAAGATGGTACATATTTTGCCCCGATTATTGACAAAATATGCCCCTGATGCAGGCCGGATAGCAGAAGTTTTGCAAATACCACCGTTAATGAATTTACAAGTGTATTCGGATTTACGTATGTTAAAGGTAAGTGACTTTTCCGATCCTCCGTAAATCTACATAAACAGTGAATAATGTGATTATTGTTAAATAGGCTTACGAGTTACTAATTGAAGATGTCAAGAAGCTTTTCTTGAAACATACACATCTGCTGGTTCTTAATCATGCCGTTAGAACTTTCTCACACATGGAGGCATACGAAATTTTTTCCTCAATTACAGAGGCTAACTTGGGAGATCTACAAGAGATAGTAACCCAAACGTTTATAGAGGAATGTGAAAATAAGGTAATTATTACGAATAATTATTTGATCAATCAATTAATTAATTAACCATAATGTTTAAATCTCAAGGAATTGTTGACAATGGATTTGATTAGCGATCAAGTACATTCATTAAGAGTGGCTTTAACTCGACTGGAAACATTAATTGGCTATAAATGTATGATTGAAGCCGTTGAAGAGAGCGATGATAATCGCAAGGACATGTATTCTTGTTTCATCGATTTGACTCGGCGTGGTTTATTGAGTAATTATGACGAACAACAGGTAAGAATAAATGCATTAAGTTAAATCATCCATATTGTGATTGACAGAATATATAGTAATGTGAATATCTATCATATTACTTTTAGATCATCTGTTCAGCAATTAGTTGTATTTGGAACTATTTGCTTTGGAAAGCTAATGAATTGCTTATTTCCAAAAATCAACCATCTTCAGAGATACCGCTTGATAAAATGAATGACTTGATTGTTAGAAGAGATCAGGTAGTTCAAACTTTATTTGAAGTTGGCTTATCAATTTCTTCAGAGGCACTCTTAAAAGTCAAAACAACGGTAACATTTATTTTGTCATTTATTTTGTTATTTTTATTATTTTTTTTTTTGGAATAAAAATCGTGACTAATAAATTATTTGTTATAACATACAATTAGGCATTTTCGACCCTTGGTAACATATATTGGTTATTTTCGAGTGATATATTTAATCCCGAAATTCCTCAGCCTAGTGGTTCCCAATTGAATCTTTCCTGCCATCCAGATTATCAAGAAAGAATTGAACAATTTATAACTGAGGAAATTCAAAATTTTAGAAATACAATATTATCAGTAAAATTAAAGCTCGAAGAAGAAACAAGATCAAGATTAGAGGAAACTGCATTAAAAATATTAGAAGATGCGTTAAATAAAAAATTAGAAGTGGCACAAAATAAAGATCAAATTGAAAACGAAATTGAAACAATTAGAGAAAGAATAGATTACATCCAGAACGAGGATGATGAAACCGAAAAACTTTTAGAGTATGAACAAATGATTACACAATTAAACGAAACACTTGCACAAGAATATGAAAATTTTAGAGAACAAGAATATGAAAAACTTAAAAAATGTACGTAATTTAATGCTGACGAATAATATTTTAATTAAGAATTTTAAATTAATTCTTTTAACGTTTTATATCTTATAGTAATTAAAAATATAGAGATGTTTATTGATCCTGAAGAAAAGCAACAGATTTTGGAAATCATTGGAACTCTTGCACGAGGTGTTAGAGGTGGTTGGTTTCAAGATTCACGTGTCGCTATTATATTATGTCAATTAGGAACCCTTGTTAGCGATATTGACGACTTAATTCGAAAACTAGTCCAAGATTTCAAGGATCGTGTATCAGGAGGCGAAGCAAAATTATTTGCAAATATATTCATTTCATCATTAAAAAAGGTACATGAATTTCGGTAATATTATGTTTATATCACTTCACTTTTTGAATAACTTATTAACGTTCAACAATTTATAGTCTCATGAACTTTACGTGGACAGTCACGTTGAGACAATGAATGGAACTACATCACTTGCTCGTCTTTGTGCAAATGCATTGCAATTACGAGAAACCAATGATAAGGCGTCACGCAAGAATACCGATTGTTTTGTTGATTTTCACCATAAAGGAATTTCGTTTATTACTTCAATGATAACGAAATTCAGAGTACTTGATAAAAGTGATGAAGTTACGAAATCAATTAAGTTCTTCAAGATTTTAAACACGTTTATCGGAGGAATGAATGTTAATGGTGCTCGACAAATGTAAGTGATGTGAATTATTTTGGTTATTTTGAAATATTTTAATGATCCTTCATTTTTAATATTATGAATTTAGATACTCAATTCTTCAACAAGAAATGAATGTTCATGAGATTAGCCCGTCAGAATTGGATAAAAAATGGGAACCTTATTATTTGTACGTGCAGAAGCTTAATAACATATTAACGAAAGGAGGAGTTAGGATAGGTACGAACATATCTTGTTAATTCGAAGATTTGGCAAATACAAAAGATTCTTATAAAATTTACACAATTTCATCATTAACAGGTAATAAACGATTCGCACCAGTTGATGATGATGTTGAGAACTTGAGGTCTCCAAAGAAAAGAAAGCCTCCCACCAAAGAGGATGAAAGAAATGAGGGATCAGATAGTGGTGAAAGTTTTCAAAGTCTGACCGATGTCCGTACCAAGAAGAAGGTACGACAATAAAAAATGATATCAATTTTTTGTAAATAAAAAAGTTAGCTATGATAATAATAATAATAATAGTAATAATAGTAATAGTAATTAATATTCATAATTCCCTTGAGAGCAACCTTTTTTTGTAATAAATGCTTTTCGCTAGTGAATTTTGGGGGAAAGCAACATAAAATAAAAATTAACAAGTACTTTGATTATAAAAAATTAATTTAATTTATTTGAATCGCGAGATAAAATTTTAATAAAATATCCTGAGCCATGATTTAACAATACGATGATAGGGATTGAAAGCTCATTGGTAATTTTCAAGAATGGTAACAGTTAAAAAAATAAATGACAGATCAGAGTTTAAATAGAAATATTAAATGTTAATTAACAGAATATAATCTTAGTAATAAATTAAAGATATCACTAATTTATTTTTATTTTTCTTTTTTTGTTTTTTTTTTTTTTTCTTTGTGCTGGATATTGATATTCTTAGGAACCATATCCAAATTTTTCTTCATAACCGGGAACACCCCATTGACCTCTTTTAACCATTTTTTCTACGATATCATTAATCTCAGGTTTAGCTTTAACAATTTCCTCAACCTAGAAAATATAAATAAAAGAATGAATAAATAATCACAAATACAGAAAAGTTGTAAAGAATAAATAAATAACGCACGGTTATATCCTCAAATGGCCTTGTCTGTTCAATATTGGTCAGTGTACTGTGCAAATCTTTCAATTCATCATCAACTCTTGCCACCGTTTTTTTTGCATTTTCAACCTAAGAAAATATTTATTTATTTTTTTTATTTTTAATTGTTATCTAGTGATTTTTTATTTTCCATACCGTATCTCTTTAATACCTACCGCTTTTGACTCGATAATTTCAACAATTTTCATTTGTGCATTGAGATCAGTTTTGACAGGTTTAAAGGAACTTAAAGCCTTTTCGGCTTCATTTACAATACCCTTATTTTTTAAAAGCGATCTATAATGTTCAAAGTCGATATCAGTTTTTTGTTCTTTTAAAGCTAAGACTACTCTTCTTGCCTCATCGTTACGTTTACGAAAGGCTTGGAGTGCAGCTACGGTCTCTTTCTTTAACCCTAAAGAGACTGTAAGTTTTGACCAATCGACCTTAGCGGCAGCACGAATTGAAGAGGCCATTGTTTAAATTAACTTCCATCATTAAATTTCCGAATGTTAATAGATTGATCATGGTGCTACCTCCACCAGCGATCGTTTCTACATATAAACCATTTTAATACAAATTTGCGTCTATTATGACGTTTCAATTTAAAATTAAATCGTTCGATCTTTTTGATGATTTTGTTCCGAAATATACATTTATAAAATTTTATATATTATTTTTCAGTAAATCATAATTTTCTTTTCAAAAATACGTTTTAAAAATTCAGATAATAAATTTATTAATCCGAAGAACTAACTCGCCCCCCCCCCCCCCCGCTCAATAATTGAGTCAATGCTGATTGAGTGACACAAAAATGTCCCGCTCGAAATTTGAGTCGTTTCGTGATTGGTCCCTTAACAAAAATTTTCCAGGTAAGAATATATCCGCGAGGGCCAGACGAGCTTCATTTTTGGAGGTTGTTGGAAGCAGTGTTG